GTTTTCGTATTTTTTAGTAGAGACGGGGTTTCACCGTGTCAGCCAGGATGGTCTCGATCTCCTGACCTCATGATCCGCCCGTCTCGGCCTCCCAAAGTGCTGGGATTACAGGCTTGAGCCACCGCGCCCGGCTGTGTCTAGCTTATTTTCCTCAGCGTATGTTTTCCAAGGCTCACTCGTGTCATAGCACATACCAGAATTTATTCTTTTTTTAAGGCCAAATAATATTCCATTGTATGTGTATACCTGGCTGAAGTTTTGTTTTTTTTTTTTTTGAGACAGAGTCTTGCTTTGTCACCCAGGCTGGAGTTGCAGTGGCACAATCTTGGCTCACTGCAGTCCCCGCCTCCCGGTTCAAGTGATTCTCGTGCCTCAGCTCCCAAGTAGCTGGGATTACGGGCATTCACCACCACACTCAGCTAATTTTTATATTTTTGGTAGAGACGGGGTTTTTCCATGTTGCCCAGGCGGGTCTTGAACTCCGGGCCTCAAGTGATCCGCCCACCTTGGCCTCCCAAAATGCTGGGATTACAATCATTGAACCACTGAGCCTGGCCTGACTGGAGATTTTTATTTTATTTTTATTATTATTATTTTTTGGAGATGGAGTTTCACTCCTGTTGCCCGGGCTGGAGTGCGATGGTGCGATCTTGGCTCACTGCAACCTCTGCCTCCTGGATTCCAGCAATTCTCCTGTTTCAGCCTCCTGAGTAGCTGGGATTATAGGCGCCCGCCACCACACCCAGCTAATTTTTCTGTTTTTTGTAAAGATGGGGTTTTATTATATTGGTCAGGCTGATCTCGAACTCCTGACTTCAGGTGATCTGCCTGCCTCCCAAAGTGCTGGGATTACAGACGTGAGCCACCGCGCCCGGCCTGGAGTATTTTTAAATAGATTCCCTTACATCATATCATTTCTCTTGTAAAAATAGTAATGCTTACTAATCAGGACTTAAAACTTCACACTACTATTAATTCCTTAATATTACGTAGTATCTAGTCTTTGTCCATATTTCTCTGATTATTTTTTAAAATGGCTTTTTTTTTTTTTGAGACGGAGTTTCGCTCTTGTTGCCCAGGCTGGAGTGCGACGGCGTGATCTTGGCTCACTGCAACCTCCGTCTCCCAGGTTCAAGCAATTCTCCTGCCTCAGCCTCCCTAGTAGCTGGGATTACAGGCATGTGCCACCAGGCCCAGCTGATTTTGTATTTTTAGCAGAGACAGAGTTTCTCCATGTTGATCAGGCTGGTCTTGAACTCCCGACCTCAGGTTATCCGCCCGCCTCGGTCTCCCAAAGTGCTGGGATTACAAGCATGAGCCACTGTGCCCGGCCAAAAATGGGTTTTCATACTTGGTTTATTCTAAGCAGGATCCAAACAAGATCCACACCACATTTGGTCAGTGGTGCTGAAGCCTCTTTCCTTCTCTATGCTTTTGATAATTGAGGCATTTATCTCTGGCGTGTGTTACTGAAATCGTTGCTAGTAACCAAGTACTTGGAAGTGATTTTCCGAGAAAATTACTATTCAAAGAACAATGGACCAGACATTAACCATGGGTTGTGAGCTCTGTCTGGTAAAGCAGTATGTATGTTACAACGTGGTGAGCTGCTTATGGAGTGACAGCAGAATTTTAGTTCAGTGAATTAGATTTTCTAAATTATTTTTTGGAAAGAGTGCCAGCTTAGTTGAGTCTTTTTGTTAGACATATGCATATAAACTGGAATTTTTTTAAAGAGAGAAATCTTAATTTCCCTTTCTTGTTCTTTTTGGTCTATAGGCGCCTTGGTGCTGAATTGGGGAAATCTGTTGTATATCAAGAGACCAATGGAGGTAAGTTAAAATTATTTCTTTTTTAAAAAATTTTTTATTTATTTAGTTTTTTCGAGACAGAGCCTCACTGTGTCGCCAAGGCTGGAGTGCAGTGGCACGATCTTGGCTCACTGCAACCTCCGCCTCCCAGGTTCAAGCAATTCTTTTGCCTCAGCCTCCTAAGTAGCTGGGTTTACAGACACCCGCCACCACACCCAGCTAATTTTTATGTTTTTAGTAGAGATGGAGTTTCACCATGTTGGTCAGGCTGGTCTTGAACTCCTGACCTCAAGTGATCTGCCCACCTTGGCGTCTCAAAGTACTGGGATTACAGGCATGAGCCACTGTGCCCAGCCTTTATTTATTTATTTATTTTTATTAAGATGGGGCCTCACTATGTTGGCCAGGCTGGTCTTGAACTCCTGAGCTCAAGCAGTCTTCCCGCCCCAGCTTCCCAAAGTGCTGGGATTACAGGCGTGAGCCACTGTGCTCGGTTTCCACCATGGTATTTCTAAAATGCAAATATTTTTTCTTACTACTGCTTCCTTACTCCTGCCCTCTAGGCTGGAGTCCAGTCTTTTTAGCAATTACATGGGGCCCTTTGGGAATCCAGATTCTACCCCTTTACCTGCCTCGTCTTTGATCCATCCATTACCACATCTTGTGTGCTCTGACTTGGGAATACTTGTTAAATCTAACCTCTTCTCACAGCCTCTGCTGCTCCCACTCCAGTCCAGCCTGCCATTTGCTGCTTGCTAGACACCTTCCAAAACAGCTGCCGTGGCCTCCCCGTGGCCACTCCTGCCCTGCCATGGTTTTCTTCACACAGTAGCCAGTAGTCTTTTTAAAACAAGTAGATGAAACCCTTCCCAAACTCAAATCTTCCAGTGGTTTTCCTATCACTGCTAGAATAAATTCCACTCTTTAGTGAATAAGAAATGAAATCCAAAGTCCTGCAAGTCCTGGTCCCTTGGCTCACTGACTTCCTGTCTCTCTCTTTCCCCTCAGTCTCTCTACTTTCTAAGTAGACTAACTGCCTGCACCTCTGCTTGGCACGCTCAGATCCACATCTTCCTGAGTCCTGAACCCCCTTCTGCACTGCTCGTTCTGGATTGCAGTGAGGCCCTTGTTTCCAGCCCCATTGTTCTCTCTCCTTCGTCACAGCTATAGCATCTCCGGCATGCTGGGCCTGAGGGTTTGCTGGCCTTGGTGTCGTATCATGTCTCTTGAGTCAGTCTTTGTCCCTTCGTCCAAGTCCTGCATTTTGTGGTTCCCAGTACAGTTCCCGACATGGAGGAGGCCTCAGCATTTGTTTAAAAAATAATAAGGATGGGCCGGGCGCGGTGGCTCAAGCCTGTAATCCCAGCACTTTGGGAGGCCGAGACGGGCGGATCATGAGGTCAGGAGATTGAGACCATCCTGGCTAACATGGTGAAACCCTGTCTCTACTAAAAAATACAAAAATCTAGCCGGGCAAGGTGGCGGGAGCCTGTAGTCCCAGCTACTCCGGAGGCTGAGGCAGGAGAATGGCATAAGGAGGCGGAGGTTACAGTGAGCCGAGATCCGGCCCTGTCTCTTATACACATCTAGATGTGTATAAGAGACAGGCGAGGTGGCGGGCGCCTGTAGTCCCAGCTACTCGGGAGGCTGAGGCAGGAGAATGGCGTAAACCCGGGAGGCGGAGCTTGCAGTGAGCCGAGATCCGGCCCCTGCACTCCAGCCTGGGCGACAGAGCCAGACTCCGTCTCAAAAAAATAATAATAATAATAATAAGGATGTTAATCTTTGGCCTCTTTGTTTACCTTTTATTTTTTATTGTTTGAGATGGAGTCTCGCTCCATTGCCCAGGCTGGAATGCAGTGGCCCAGTCTAGGCTCACTGCAAGCTCCATCCCCCAGGTTCACCCCATTCTTCTGCCTCCGCCTCCTGAGTAGCTGGGACTACAGGTGCCCGCCACCACGCCCAGCTAATTTTTTGTATTTTTAGTAGAGACAGAGTTTCACCATGTTAGCCAGGATGGTCTCGGTCTCTTGACCTCGTGATCTACCCGCCTCGGCCTCCCGAAGTGCTGGGATTACAGGCGTGAGCCACCGTGCGCGGCCTGTGTCTTTATTTTGATAACATGTTGTTGTTTTATTGTTGCTTTTGACCCTGAGACTTTATGCTGAACTGTTGGTTAGTTTTGTCTTCTATTTTGGGGGACTTATTTTCCTTGAGTTTGACTATTTTTTTTTTTGAGACGGAATCTCGCTCTGTCGCCCGGGCTGGAGTGCGGTGGCACCATCTCGGCTCACTGCAACCTTCGCCTCCCCGGTTCAAGCAATTCTCCTGCCTCAGCCTTCCAAGTAGCTGGGATTACAGACATGCGCCACCACGCACGGCTAGTTTTTGTATTTTTAGTAGAGACAGGGTTTCACCCTGTTGGCCGGGCTGGTCTTGAACTCCTAACCTCAAATGATCTCTCTGCCTTGACCTCCCGAAGTGCTGGGATTACAGGTGTGAGCCACCACATCTGGCCCTTATTTTTTTCAAGTCAAACTGTGTTCAGTTTTTTTTTTTTTCTTTTTTTTGAGACGGAGTTTCGCTCTTGTTGCCCAGGCTAGAGTGCAATGGTGCCATCTCGGCTCACTGCAACCTCCACCGCCCGGGTTCTAGCGATTCTCCTGTCTCAGCCTCCCAAGTAGCTGGGATTACAGGCATGTGCCACCACACCCAGCTAATTTTATTTTTAGTATGGACAGGGTTTCTCCATATTGGTCAGGCTGGTCTCGAACTCCCGACCTCAGGTAATCTGCCTGCCTTGGCCTCCCAAAGTGCTGGGGTTAGAGGCGTGAGCCACTGCGCCCAGCTGTATTCAGTTTTCTTAAAGATATTTTCTTTTTTTTTTTTTTTGAGATGGAGTCTCGCTCTGTC